TGCTCAGTGCTGAGAGGCCTGGAGCCGCTGACTGTGAGGCACCAAGCTGAGGCGGCTAAACGGGACACAGGAGTAGAGGTGCTGTGGGCATCACTAGTGATGTCAGACTTGAAACACTATTTTGGTGGTGATTCTTAGGTTTAACAACATTGTGTAAAAAGATACAGAAACACACATTCTACCTGCTAAAATAGATTTGTACATATTTTTAAGAGGATGTTTCTTTGGGCAGCAGAATTAACCAGTTTTAGCACATATTTTTACGTGCCGTTTTCAATTGCTAGTTGGTTGATCGGTTACTGATTTCTTATGATTAATGGTTTTCATGATGTTGCTTCATTATTCAGTTTAATTTAGAAAAGAAACTTGACTTTATACTTGGTGTGTTTTTAGACCTATCCATTGGTGTTTAACTGTATAGCTTTAAAGTTTACTCTAAATCTCTATAAGTAAAAAAATGCCATAGTTTTATTAGACTGATTTTGGGAGAAAAAGTCTTCTGTAAAGTCTACAAAACCTTCTAAAAAAAACTAAAAACAAAGAACCATTATTAGAATTGTCTGTAGTATTTGTACGGCTTCCCCACAGCAATAATAATCCTTTAGGTGAGTGTATATATTTTATTATTATTATAACATCATCTGAATGTCAAAAATGAACAGATAAATAATAATGTGACATCTTTATTCTCTGTGAGGAAGTAGTATTTGTACGGCTTCCCCACAGCCCCCATCACTGTGAGTTTCTGGCACAGTAGTACACAGCCGTGTCTTCAGCTTTCAGGCTGTTCATCTGTAAATACAGCTGGTTCTTGCTGTTGTCTCTGGAGATAGTGAATCTCCCCTGAACAGACTGGGAGTAGTAAATGTTACTAGTTTGGGCAGCGATCCACTCCAGTCCCTTCCCAGGAGCCTGTCTGACCCAGTACATATAAGAGCTACTGAATGTGAACCCAGAGGCTGTATATGTCAGTTTGTGTGATTCTCCTGGCTTTTTAACTGCTGGTTCAGACTCAGTCAGAGTCTGTGTATCGACACCTAGAGAAATAGAGAGAAGTAAGAAATGAGAATTACAAACATCTTACATTGAAATATAAACCTTTTCCTGAATATTTACCTGTTAAGCATATAACCATCAGAACTATTGGGAACCTTGTTAAAGATGCCATGACTGACAGATTCAGATCCAGTCACCTCTCACTGCAGAGAGATAAATGTAGGATGAAAGTGTCAGGATTTGCATGAACTCCTCCTTACTGGGTGGGCAGATATACTGAAGGTAAGTGGCAGAGTCAGGGCAGTGTGGGATCTCATATGAGAAACAGGATCTGTACTATTATACAGGGATTCATATGAGAAACAGGATCTGTACTATTATACAGGGACTCATATGAGGAAACAGGATCTGTACTATTATACAGGGACTTATATGAGGAAACAGAATCTGTACTATTATACAGGGACTCATATGAGAAACAGCATCTGTACTATTATACAGGGACTCATATGAGAAACAGCATCTGTACTATTATACAGGGACTCATATGAGGAAACAGGATCTGTACTATTATACAGGGACTCATATGAGAAACAGGATCTGTACTATTATACAGGGACTCATATGAGGAAACAGGATCTGTACTATTATACAGGGACTCATATGAGAAACAGGATCTGTACTATTATACAGGGACTCATATGAGGAAACAGGATCTGTACTATTATACAGGGACTCATATGAGAAACAGGATCTGTACTATTATACAGGGACTC